TCAGAGAGAGATATGGAGACTCAATTGCAAACGCATGATATGAAAACAAAAGCAAGCAAAAAAGTACTGGCCTGTGTTGTCTCCTTCATTCAAAATATGTGGCTTCCATATATAATGGTATGTTGACAAAGGAATGTTGTACTTCTTTTTATTTTTATTTTTATTATAATTTTTAACATTATAATTAATTAAAATTTTACTGTTTTATGTAATAATAATTGTTTAAATATTAAAAGTAAACACATTAATTTAAGAAAATAAAATCTTACCATAAATGTATGCTTTGTAGTAAGTAATTTCTTAACATATGTGTAAATAGTTATTACAACAAACATATTACTGGAGAAAGAAAATATTTTTCCCTGGGTCTGAGAAAATACCATTTTAGGTCCACTACCTACAACTTCAGGATAATTCATTAAAGATGTCCACAGGCTAAATACAGGAAGATTTCTAAAAAATAGTTTCTCTGAGACATTGAGAGACATTAACAGTGAAGGGAAGAATTGAGTAAAAATTATTCAATTACTTGTAACGATTATTTTGTTAGTAATTTTAGCATGCAATCGATACTTTCAGCAGAATGTAATTTTTACTATTAATTCACTCCTTAATATAAAATTGAAAATTGTAATCGTTAATTTGCAGTAATCATTACATTGCGTGTAAATATGATTTTTTTTATATGCCAGTTTGGTTCTTTCTACTTGTTAACTACGTCATCCGTTGCAAACTAAATTAATTCATAAATTCATTTAGTTCATATACAAAACTGAATGAGATGCCTCATCCATGGTATAAGAGAATTTACATGGCTCCATCCCAGCGTGCTGACAAAAGATTAGTTCGTTTCAATTAGTTTATTCAAGAAAAACACATCACTATCTGTGTGATGTGTTGTTCTTTTTGTACTTGTTTGTGTCTTGTAATTGTAATTGTAATTGTGATTTTACTAGTTACATGCAGAAAATGTAATTTGTAATTGTAATTGAGTAAAACATTTGACAAGTAACTGTAATTGAGCTCAATTACTTTTTTTATGTACTTTTCCCAATACTGGAAATGAATACCTATATTTGTGACCATTTGTTGTGGTCGAAAGAATTAGTTACTTATTTTATTTGTGTCAATTTTATTCTGATATAAACAAATATTATGGTTGTTAAAACAATGTACACATTGCTTTTTAATGAATATTCCGTAATAGATGGGGAAGGGAGGGTATGAGCATTTTTGTGAATGCCCATTCATTAAGGATGGGTGTATGCTATTTCGGACACTTCTGGACCTATAGGATGAGGAATCAAGAATGTAAATGACTTTTATGGATGACCCCTTATGTATCATGTAGAACGTTCCATTTCATAAATCTGCTTTGCTCACTAATAATACTAAAAATTCTGTGATGTATTATAAAATTGTTAATAAAATTTCAGAAATCAGAACTTGATGAGGAGTCATTGGAATTGTATATTGGTGTCCTACAGTGCATTAAGTATTTATACAAGGCAGAAGATTTTAACATAAACATTTTTTCTGGAGACTTAGCAAAAGCAGGATTTACAATACTTCTCCCATTTACCTTAAATTGGGCAACCACAAGGTAGTAAGATTTATTAAATTCCAAAAGCTTCCAACATCCTTATTTTATGTCTTCATTTCTGTTGTTTTCAGAAATTTACACCATTTGAGACACCTTGTTCAGCAAGTAATGATTGAATATCTCACTTGCTTGGCTGAAGATCATTTAGGGACGTCTTCATGGCTTGAAAGTTTTGATCTCAAATTTTATTTTGAAGAAGGAATTTGCTCATTACCTTTGAGGTTTAGTGATTGGTTGAATGTACTTAATGAACCAAATATTCCGGAAAGTTGCAAACATTTTGTCATCATGTATTTCTACTTCTTTTGCTTATTTCTTCCTAGGTAAAAAACATATATTGAATCTACTCTTTGATTCTTGATGTAGCTAGATTTTGTATAGATGATAGTATGTCTAGGCATTTTGTTTCAGCCTTCCAGCTCGTGAACTTCATTTAAACTGTTTATTAAATTATCTTACGTCTTTGCCAGTTGCTGAATTCCCAACACCAGTATTAAAGGCATTTTGGTTTCTCTACACTGTAAGTTTCAATTTAATTGTGGGCAATGAGTAAAAATTGAGGATATGATATAACATAAAATATCATGGAAAATAATTATAGATGTAGCTGTAGAGAAATAGATTTGCAATAGAAACTACTGTTTTTTTTTCTTTTAAGCACTCAATAATCTAATAACTTTTAATTTTTAAATTTTTCCCCCCCTTAACTTTACTCAGGAAGCAGTTCTTTGTCAGGCTTCAATTCCATCACTTGAAGTAATATACAAGTCAACAGATATTTTATTGAAATTTTTCAACAATATTTCATGTGCCCAGTTATACACACACCATCCAGCAGTTTTGTTTTGGTCTTTTTCATCTCCACGAATTCCAACAAAATTTCAGTATGAAATGGTGAGTTTCATAAGTAATTATTTGTTTTGTCAGTTCCTTATATTTTTTTAAGCAATTGCAATAATATTTTTTGAATTTACTTTGATTAACAATACTTATAAACAGAAATGAATAAATGAATGTATCCAAGAATAAAGGAGAAATCAGCAATCTCTTTATACAGTTTTGCATGAAGCAGATACATCCTTTCAAAGTATTTGTTTGGAAGAGAATAGTTACCTTGTATATTTTGGGTGCTCTCTGTTTTTAATTTTTAGAAGCATTATCAATTTCTAAAAAAGAACAAACAACTTTTTATTATGAGTTGTTTTAGTGCAATTACTTATCATCTATTGTACTAGTGTATTAATTTAGTGTACTTGGTGATTTTACTGCCAAATAATTGATTTTTGTGTTGCTTTCTAGAATATGAGAAATAATTGCATTGTCTTGATATGATTGAGTGTTGTTTGTTCAGCTATGTTTATGGCTGGAGAAAGAAGATAATGAAAATTATGATTCTGCTCTTATGAAGATGGCATTTTCAAGTGAAGATGTTATTTTTTGTTTGTTGGTAATAACTTAGAGTAGAAAATATTTCAGATTTAATGAAAACAAAATTATTTTCATTCACAGTGATTTGTATGTTCTATGTATAGGAGGTGGTCAAATACAGTAAAAAGAAGTTGTCTTGTCATGCTGCATCAGTGCTTGTAAAATCTATTTTGAGTCAGAAAGAAAAATCATCTGAAGGCATACTATGTCTTTTATGGGATACCTTACCAAATGTTCTGAGTGAATATTGTTCTGAAAGTTCAGCTATGAAAGGTAGGCCTCTTACTAATAGAAAATGTTAAATTAAAGGAAAAACAAACTATGCTTATTTTCTCATGTAGTGAATCACACTCAGTGGTGGATCCAGGTGGGCCATGCCC